CCTGCGCCGCCGGCGCCGCGGGAGGGGAAGTGCCTGGCCGGCATTTTCCCGGACATGTTCAGCTTTTTGGCAATTCCCCCCGGACGGGGGTTTGAGTGCCGAAAAGCTGGACATGTCCGGGAAAAACCGGACGTATGGTAACCCTACTAGAATATAATCTTTTTTTTTAAATGTACCCAATAAGCCATTTTTCATTCAACACAGACAAATACTATTATAAAAAATAGGTTGCATGACTTACTCCAAGCAGTTGTGTGCATAGTGAGTGGTGATATTCTCTCCCACAAACCACGACAGTGTAGAAACATTTCAAGTTATTTACAGTGTACTTACTGCCTAATGCAAAAAGAAGTGCTACTCTACTTCTGAGCAGTGCTTTCATCTTAAGATATTAGTAGCATACTGGTTGAAATATTAAGAGTATCTGTAAATTATTGCCTATAGCCTAACAGCACTTGGTTTAGGACAAATAGGAATGGTCCTGCCCAGCAAGCAGAGTCTCTAAAGCCTTTTGTATTTAGGGAGATGATTTTTCAGTAGATTACCATATTGGGCTGGAGACTGCCTCTCACCAAGGAAACATTCTGTCCCAACCCTTTCTTAAAGCCAAAATCTCTGTTGCAGATGCTGTGTCTGAAGCAAACTGGAAATCTGAAGCACCATAAAGCAGCATGCTATGGCACACTGGTGCCATCTGATGGTAAGTTTTCTCTTTTCAAATCAACTGAACTTCCAATTCCAGCCTTCTGAAAATGACCTGTTTAGAAACATTGAATGTGCGTGAGTTCAGTTGCATAGCGGCAAGTATCTCTCATTCAGCCACGGTGAGAGGTTACTGCACGGAACTGGGAGTCAGGAGATTGGGTTTCTATTCTGAGTCCTGGCAATGACTTCTTGAGTGACTTTGAGCAATCCACTTACCCTTTTGGTGCTTGTGTTGCCCCAGGATTAAAATGGGAAGGATACTTGGTTCACACTCATGTGGTGGGTCTTAATTATTGTTGGTAATAAATGGTGTTCCAGAAGTTAAAGTATGAAGCATTATATTGTAGTTAAAGTTCAGTACATTGAACAAATGCAGAAGTACTATGTGTCTTTCTGTATTAAACATCTCTGGTTTTTAAAAGCAAGTGTGAATTTAAAACATTACAATATGGCTTTATTTCCTTTTTTTTTCAGAAGTAACTGTCAATTACAGATATGGCCTTCCTGTGGTAACCCTTATGTTACCCTCAAGAAAAGAGCGCTGTCAGTTTACCGTCAAGCCAATGTTAACAAGGGTGGGGACCTTCCTGCAGGATATACAGAAAGAAGATAAAGGAATTGAGAGGGCAGAAGTCTTTACAACAGGTATTTACAAACTCTGCTGCCTGTTTAAAATAACCTGAACTTGTCCTTTCTTAAATAAGGTTTAAAGAGTAATTGCCTTGGGCAGTATTCTTTTTCTTGGTCATTGATCAAATTCTATAGAACTAATGAGGGTGGGTGGTTCTTAATTGTTAGTACTCCTTAATAGCATCATAAATTAATGATGTTTCATGGGTTAATTTCAGCATCTCCCTAGAGAAGCCTGATTAAAAATACAGAATTTGGACCTGTCAATTTAACCTTTTTATGATCTGGTACTTTTCTTTGATACAGTCTTCAAAAAGCTCATCTTTTTTACAGTGATTTTTTAATGCTTCTGGCTTTCCCAATATTTCTCCTACCACTAGTCTTAAAGGCCCCTGCATTGGGTTGAGAGAGAATCTCTCTCTATGTGACTAGTTGTGTCTGTCAGTGTTTCTGTGAGTATGATGTAAAGGTTGGGAGACAACTTGAGAATAACAATAGGTGAGGCTTTATTTAGCTGGAGACATAGATTTTCTTTTCATGGTAAGAAATCTGTCTTCTGTTTTTCTGCAACCAAAACCAAGTGAGTTCCATTGTTCTGGCAACAAAATCCACTGTGGAACAAAGATCTCAATTCTTCTAATTCCCTGAATGAAGAAATTCCTAAGGACTTGCTCAAAGATGGGTATGTGGCCCTTAAATAAGCAATTTGAGATTAACCTATAGGCTTGTTGTGAGGGACTTTTTGAGTGGGTTAGTGACTTTGTTTTACAAACTTAAAACCCCTTAATGAAGAAAATATTGCCATTGGCCTGCTGCTTTTATTTCCTTCAACCCCATACATACTTTCCCTTGATGGCCTCTCATGCTTCCATTGTTTGTTACTCCAAAATCTTCCTCTTCACCACAATCTCTTCTACGTATCCTGTCTCCTTCCGTCTGTCAGCATCTCTTTCTGGATAGCCCAGCTCACAATGGGGAAAATTGAGGTTCTTGTATTACTTTCTCTGTTAACAATTTCACTACAACCTCTGTTTCCTAGGCTCACAGCCTCAGTGTCGTATTTGACCCTCTTTTCTCCTTCCCCCTATGTCCAGTTTGTTGCAAAATCCTCTTTGTTCTTCCTGTATGTTTCTAAGCCTATGTCTATACAACCTGCCAGATCGGCAGGCAGCAATCGATCCAGCGGGGGTCAATTTATCGCGTCTAGTCTAGACGCGATAAATCGACCCCCGAGTGCTCTCCCGTCGATTCCTGTACTCCATCGGAGCGAGAGGCGCAGGCGGAGTCAACGGGGGAGTGTCAGCAGTTGACTCACTGCAGTGAAGACACCTTGGTAAGTAGATCTAAGTATGTTGACTTCAGCTACATTATTCACATAGCTGAAGTTACGTAACTTAGATCGATCCCCCCTGCTAGTGTAGACCAGACCTAAAAGATTTCCTCTTTGGTTTCTCCCTCCCCAAGCCCTTGTCCTGTGGCTTAATTATCTTTTGCCCCAGATTAATGCAAACTGGACTGTTGTGACCACCTTGATTCCCGCCTCACACCCCTACAATCAATTCAAAATGTTGCTGCCAAAACTATCTTCCTTACCAGCCACTCTGACCAGGTCATGTCGCTCTTTGAATTCCTTCATTGCCTACTCTTGGCCTTTCCAGCAGGTTGAAACTTCTCATCTTCACCTTTGCCCAACACTGTGCTTTCTCATAACTCTGTTATCACCTCGTCTTCCATATTGCTCTCTTTTTTTCAGCCCAGGCCCTCCTGCCTTAAACCATCCCCTATCTTTGTGCCTTCTTCCATGCTGGCCCTCACACCAGGAAGTTCTACAACTCCCTCTCTTGCTGTGTGCCAAGCTGCTTCTTTCAGATACCTCTGTAAAACACGCTTCTTCTATGAAGCCTATCAACTGCAGTTCTCTAGTCTCAGAAACATAAAGGGTGGAGTGACCTCGACTCTTCCTCAATTGTCTCTTACCACCCATGGCAATGAGGCAAAACCTGGCAATTGTTCAACATAATGGTTCTTAGCTTTGACTAAACCTTCCCAAAAATCTTCTACAAACTTTCAGAACTCTTCTGATTCTTCAACATACGACTGCCATGATCTAATTGACCTGTCTGGACTGAGTATTGATGGTTAGACTGTACCCCACCCCACCTCCTTCCTCGTACAGACTCCCCTCTACAGGCTACTTAACATGGTGGACTCACCCTGTGGCTTCAAGCCCTATGTGTCCTGTGATGGTCTCATTCCCCTGAAAGATGGACACAAATGTCTCTTCTGTTTAGGAGAGTCATGTATGCTAAGCGGGTGTTTGGTGCAGCTGTCATTCTCCACAAGAATGTGTAAGTCACAGGATACAAGGTTGAAGCTCCATCTTCTGGAGCAACCTATGAAGGTCTCATGAGACCCTGGGGAGACCAGCTCTAGAGTCCTGTTAACAGGCAAGCCAGCCTTATCCAACGCCCTGTCTAATAAACAAGCGATTCCAAAGACTGGCGCACAGAAGAAGGTGCTAATAAAGGACTGGGCATGGAAGCAGACCCCAATATCACTGGCACCAAGGCAGCCCTAAAAACTCAGTACTGATCGGGGGCACTCTAAGCAAAATGCATTGTCCTGAAGATACACTACATAAATCCTTTAGAAACAAAATCACCATGCCCCACAGAACATTGAGCTGCTGATAAAGAGCGACAGATTCTTCCAGGCACCTGACTCTGGTGTCAATGCCTACTCTGGATGACCCGCCCCCGGGAGAACCTGAACCATCACTTGGGCGCTTTTGAAAATGTTGCTATGTATCTTTATTTCTTTACCAATGTTTTAATTTAACAAAACCTACATCCTGGTAACAAAGACTGCTATTGGCAAAACACTCCTTTAACACAAAACCACTTGATAAGTTATTAGAATGTGCATCTTCTGTAGTTTTTGAACTGTGAATGAGACATTTTATTTTTCACATCTGTATAATACAAAACCAGGCAGACTTTCTAATGGAAAGTATACCTTTGGGCTGAAATTTTGTGCTTATGAGCCAGAGGTGATTTTTTTAGCAGGGAACTTTTTTTTTTTTTAATAATCTGCTGAAAATAGAAGTTGTTAATGAAGGTGCCTTTTCAACCAGAACTACCTGTCACTATTGTGGTGTGCTCATACTATAAGAACACTGTTATCTCTGAAGCAGTATATTATCACTTGCAAACTTTTACAGTTATAAGCAGGAACTTAGATTTTCTTCTTTCCAGAGTAAAAGAGCATATCATACTTGAACTACAAAACAGGCTCTCAATATCCTTTTTGTAATTGATTTTCATCTCTTAAAACATTTTTATCCTCTGAATCCATAAAGCATGTAGATTGATTTAATGAAGGCAATAGTCTGTCTATTTGAGCATGTGGATAAAATACAGGCATTGCAAAAGTTATATTCTGTAACACTTTCTTATATTCTTTGCAAGCAAGAAAACAAATTGCTACCCTCAGAACTGTCTGGACTAGGACATATGTGAGTTTTCACGGTAGATTATGCTATAATGTGGGGCTATCCCCCATCTTTGCAAACAACTAAGTCAGTTAGTGGAGTCTACATGGAATATTTACACTTACAGGTGTAACTGTCTGCTGAATCCAATTCCTATGTATTAAGCTGAAGAAGTTTAATGTTAACCAAGCATTCTTAGCTTCAGTTCAAGTTTCACAGTTGTTGTGTTGATATAGTGCACAATGCTACTTCAATAAGAAATTGCAAGGCCACATATTTTGCAGATGTCCCTACTAATTCTAGAGGAAATATGGCTAACTTCACCAAGGATGGAAACATCTCATCTGATAAAGTATCTGGCTTGAATTTATTTAACAGTTGTGACATAGTTAATCTTCTCTACCGCACACCTTCAAATACCAAGTAATTGTAACAATGAAGAATAACTTTTATATTTACTTTATCAGGAAATGAATATTATACTGACAAGTGTTAGCCAAACACTATGGATTATTACATTTTAAAATCTCTCTCTCTCTCTCTCTGTTTATATTTATTTAATTTAAAAAAAAAAAAATATATATATATATATATATATAATATATTTACTTATTTTAAAAATCAAGAAATGAATATCCCAGGAGATTTTGATTTAAATGCAGATATTTTTCCTGTTTTTGCTAGTAGATAAAATGAAAGTAGAAAGATCTAACCTAACACTATATTATTAGAAAAAGATAAGATAACCTGAACTGGCTTGTTTACTTTACTTAACTTTTTCTGTGGATATCATTCTAGCACTGTATAAATTTAGACAAAGAAAAGCTTTTTGTTGACATCTCTGCACCTGCAGTATGATAAATGGGAAGGAAAATTGCCTTGTACAGAAAATTGTTATGTTTTTCAGGCTTCCAATGCTCTTCTGTGTCTTCTCCAGTTAGCAAAGCATTAGACAGGTTAATAAAGCTCAATATTGCATGAAATATGAAAAAGAAATCCTGTCTGGCGCTTTCAAACAAGTGCTCCTTTTTGAAGTATTGTCTTAAATGTCATTTTAATGAGACTGCTGAAGCTCATTTACATGTAAATTATTAAGATGACATTTGTAAAATGTTGAAAAACTGAGTGGATGTGCACAATTTAAATTTTTTGGATGAAAGTGATAGTGCTCCAAGTTTGTCACCCTTCCCACACAGAGTGGGTAGGGAGAGCCAGCTGGTGTGTTAGCTTCTTGAGCTCATTAATAGAAATCTCAGCAGATACTGCCAAATGGGTCCAGACAGCAGCATGCCAACGAGAAAGTGAAGGTGTGGAGTTATCTACAGTGTGCTTCTATAGCAGGCACATGGAGACAGATGGAAAGTCTGGGATTGTAGCATGGCAGGATAAAACCTCCAATATGCTCAGTCAGGAATCATACTTATATCTTCCCACTCGTATAGCACCTCTCAGCCAAGAGTCTCAAAATTATTAATAGGAAATTGGAGGTAAGATCAAACAGCTAGTCATTGGCAGAGACAGAACCAGAGCCCAGATTTCCTGTTTCTTGGAACTCTTCTACATCTCCTGGGCAGTCTGTCTATTTCAGGTGCTTAGGCCCAGGTTCAGCAAAGTACTTAAACGTGTCCTTAAAACCATTAGGAGTGGACTTAAGCTTGTGATGACGTATTTTCCTAAATTTGGGGTCATCAGTACAACAAGCAAACTGAAGTCAATAGTTTGCACCATAGATGTATGGAAGCAAATGGGATTGAGGTGGAGGGGAACAACAAAACAGTCCTACACTCCAGTGATTATTATATATGCCATTCATGTTTCAATATTTTCACTGCTTCACTGTTTTAGAGAAGTCCTCTGTCTGCACCTGTCTTTCAGCCCTTCCCATGCTGTATCTGTTTTGTTCCCTTGTCTGCAATCTTAAATAGTTGTTCATATTCATGTGAACTGTTAATGTTTTTGTTTTTTACCCTTATTTTTCATTGTTGATAGGCCAATAAGTACTTCCAAAAGTCTATGGACAAAAGGATGAGAATGAGTTTGAACTCTCTTCTACAGAGGCCAATCTCCTTTTTGCCCCCTTACCTCCCTTAATAAGACTATTCAGTATACACACCCCTTGCTCCCAATCAAAGCTAAAGCCTGCTTTAAAAATGTATTGAAAGTATAAGCACTAAATTTTCCCATCTATACTGACTGATTAGGAAAATCTGGACAACAAGAATGCCAAAATTCTCTATACCCAGCTAGAAGAACTCATCCAGGGAAAGAAAATCTGTAACTGAGTGAGGTGTGTTTAGTTTACAACAAATCTTATTCAGGATTCAACCAAAAATTGTGTGTGTGAATGAGGACTGAAAATATAAGACTTCTATATCCATGCTGAAGAGGCTGTCAACTTAATAGTAAAACGTTGGCATGGAAAGGAGCTACATCTTCATCTTTCTTCCTCCAGTGATTGATACTCTGGTTTCAAACAATAAATCCCAACTAAAGTGAAATGGATCCACAGTAGTGATACTACAATTAAGGTTGTAAATAACTTGGCATCATAATCCTTGAGTTCTTGTGTGGAATTTCTAAGGTATTACAGTCTTATGTTGTAGTATCCTCCATCCAAAACATTGCAAACATTAATGTTAACCTCTCAATGCTTCTGAGAGCTTAACAGAATCATCTCCAACTAAGAGAAAATGGAGAGAGACAGACAGAGAAACTTTGTCTTAGCTGGGTCCCTCATTACGTTTGGTGGAGCTAGATCTCCTGAGGCAGAGCCCTGTGTTGTAACCACAAGACCATTCTTTGTCTAGAAAGTGAATCTGATCTAACTAGTTTAATTTTCCAGACTAAGCAAAATGCAAAAAGAAATGGTTAAAAGTAAACAAGACTTGGTGCTAGGTAAAATGGAGAATTTTAAGGTCTTGACACAGGTAAAGAGTCTTTAAATATAGCTTTATCTTTACAGTATCTGTCCTTGAAACTGAAATAAAAGGGAGGCTGCTGGCAATAGTGGGTTATGCCAAAGAGGTCAAATGAAATGCGGGCACATGCAAATGCGGGGTTTTCTTTTTTTTAATAAAGTAAATGTTGTGTTAAGGATTTAAGCCTTCCTGTTTTCTGCTGCAGATGGTAGCAAGATCCCTGCTACAGCATTGATGGAAGTTTTGTTGATGAATGACTTCAAACTTGTAATCAACAACACAACTTATAGTGTACAAGTCCCTGTAAAAGGTAAGAACCACAGCTGTGTTAAAGTCTTAATAAATCTGATTATCTAGTTACATCTGTTCCAAGGCATATTTTTGTCTATTTTTTTTTTAAAGATCATGGCAGTCCCCACAAAAAATAAGTCTGGCTTCATCTCCCCTTTGAGCCTCAGTTTGTGGCTTCATATAAACACTCTTAAAACAGTGACTGTTTTTTCTTAAGAGCATTGCTCGATACATCTTACCAGTCATGACAACCATGTTTGCAATCTTGTAACCATGTTGGTCCCAGGATATTAGAGAGACAAGATGTGAGAGCTAATATCTTTTATTGGACCAACTTCTGTTGGTGAAAGACAAGCTTTCGAGGATACACAGAGGTCGTCTTGAGGTCATTGTGTAAGCTCGAACACTTGTCTCTTTTACCAACAGAAGTTGGTCCAATAAAAGATATTACCTCACCCACGTTGTCTCTCTTATGACAACTGTGGTCTTTTTTCAGAGAAGTGGAGTAGAGAGCATGCTGCTGAAGCAGAAGATATCAAATCCTTGGTTCATAGACTGTTCATCGCCCTTCATTTAGAAGACCACCAGTTAAGGAGAGAGAGAGAACTGCTTCAGAAACTGGACCACCTAAGGGAACAGCTGGTACCCCTTGAGCAGGTTGGGAAGGATTTTTTTTTTAAATATAAAAACAAATTTCTCTTAACTAATTTCCATGATGTGACAGCTCCAGCATGAATGAATGGGCCACGCCCTCCTCATTTTTCAGACAGGTAGGTGATGGCCAGTCCATATGCAGGATTATTTCCAACCCAGTTCCTCCTTCTCCTGTTTCGTGGCGTATCTAGAAATTCATTGAGAATTTCTAGAACTGGAGAAAAACTATGGTGAGCTGGTACTACCCTGGACTGCGTGGTTACTTTGTCTGAACCTGATTGGGTGTCCGGAGTGATGTTGGCATATCACAGAAAAATAATTAGTGAGTTTAAAAAAGTGTTGTTTTTCTGTGATGATGCTATCACCAGGTCAGCCAGTAGGATCTGACTAATGATGACCATAACTTAGGAAAGGGGCAAACATGGCGAATCTAAGACAGGCCAAGCTAAAGTGACATGAAGTGATGAATAAGGAGGAGGAGGAGACCAGTAAGAGTCTGATGGGGTGCGAACAGACCTCACGTTGAAGGCAGCAATCTCAGAGCTGCTGTGAAAGTGCCTCTCTGAAAAATCAGGCAGCGTCAGCTGATGCATGCAAATCCAATTGGTAGAGTCCCGAAGGTGTGGATGGAGGGCCAGATGGAGGCCTAGCAGAGCTCATCCCCTCTGTACTCCATGCAGGGAGTGAACTCAAAGCCTTCAAAGCAGGAAAGGCCTGAAGTGATACTCCTGGGGGAATTTTGCACATGCACAGAATACATGTATCCCACAGAATTTTATTTTGTTCTGCCTCAGAAATGCTGCAGTTCCGCCTTTCGCCCACAAGAGGCCACTGTGGTGCCAGAAAAGCCAACAGCATGAATGCAGTGGGCTGTTCTGGTGCCACAGCAGCCTCTGGTGGGCAAAAGATGGAACTGCAGCACTTCTGGGCAGAATGTATTTTCTGTGGGGAAAAAAATTGTGTGCGCGCGCAGTGGCACAGAATTCCCCCAGGAGTAGAAGTTCATCATAGCACCTGGCCCGTGGAGCTAGGTTAGGCTGGGGGGGTCACAGACTGGGGAGACAGACTGGGTCGTGGGCTCAGGAGCTAGCGGGATGACAGCATTGAGCCAGGGGTTGAATGGGAGTGGGGTGCATGGCCACATGGGAACAAGGGAGGGAGGCTGCAGGGACCCATTGGGATGGGAGGGTGCGGGGACAGGGGCAGATGTGCCTGACTGAATGGGAGAGGCTTGGGATCAGCCAGGGTCTGCATGGGGGAGGCTCCCCAACTCCCTAACAATCCTGCCCCTCTTCCCTCCTCCCTCCCCCCCCAAAAACCCCTGTTCCATACTACTACTACCCACACCCAACAACCCTCCAGGTTCACTCCAGGCTCCTTCCCTCTCCCTCAGCTCCTCTGTTACTCCTGACACTCACAAGCCTTTGCACTGCTTCTGATGGGTGCAGGAAATACAGTTCTGTATTGCAATTTAAATGAATTACTCAAAATTCTGTATTAATATGCTCCGTAAGAAATCTATTAGTCAAAAAAAAAATTATTAGAATCTTTTTTTTTGTCTGCATTGTTATAGACATACTTGCTGACAGATATTTTGAAATAAATTACCAAAATAATTTAAACTGGCATGATTATATTGTGTTGTTTTGACAGATAAAATATGCAGAATTTTAAAATATTGTGTGCAGAATTTTTATTTTTTTGACATAGAATTTTTAATTTTTTGGTGTAGAATTCCCCCAGGAGTAAAGTGAGTAGGAGTCTTATGCAGGCTCTGATCCAGGCGGAAAGTACATACTGGGATATGTTCTCTCCCTTGTGTCAGAGGAATGTATGAAATTAATATCCGCATGTTGAATGAATAATGTTTTTGTCCTAGATGAAAGCCAAAATTGCAACAAGTGCAGATGCAAAGACCAATAGGCTCCTATGGACTGGCTTAGCACTACTGTCCACTCAAGGTGGAGCCCTGGCCTGGCTCACGTGGTGGGTCTATTCATGGGATATAATGGAGCCAGTGACATATTTTATCACGTACGGGAGTGCCCTGGCATTCTATGCTTACTTTGTACTTACTAAACAGGTAAGTCCCATTATATAAAACATGTCTGAAGTCCTCTTACACTGATTTTCATTATAAATTCCCCTATGTATTTAAACATCAAAGCTTGTGTGTGTGTTATGTAGAACTGCACTCAGGCTGGAACTTTGTTTTGCTCAGGGAGCTGCACTTAAAAATCCTGATTGCAATTAGTGACCCAGGGGATGCCATCTGATGCTGAAAATGAAAACTATCCTCTTTCATTCAATTCTTTGTATGTGGCCTGGATGGTAACTGTATCTCCTACGTCTCTACATAGAAAGTGCAAGTACTAAAGCAGGGCTGGTCAAGAAATGCAACCTAGTAGTGGGCCAGGAAGGCAAACCCATCAGTTGCTTTTTCTGTTTGATGGAGTTCATATGTCACTTGATGCAGGATCCAGGCTGTTGGGAAGTTTTTCAGCTGTTTTCCCTGGAATAGCTTTACTTTATTTCCTTGAGCAAGATGCAGATTTTTCTCAAGTGGCCTATCTTCCTTTCTTGCTCTTGGATGTGCAAAGGAGAAGTCACGAGTTGGAGGGAGGCATGTTTAGAGGAGGGGGAAGGGTTCCTGAACAGCAAAACCCCAGAACTTGGACGAAGTGCAGAATGTGGAAATGGCCATCAATTCCTGTACAATATGAAGGAACGTACATTTTTGCCCATTAAATATTTGGGATCCTACAACGTACTATAAAGCACATAGTTGGATAGGTTTCAGAGTAGCAGCCGTGTTAGTCTGTATCCGCAAAAAGAACAGGAGTACTTGTGGCACCTTAGAGACTAACAAATTTATTAGAGCATAAGCTTTCGTGGGCTACGGCCCACTTCTTCGGATGCATATAGAATGGAACATATATTGAGGAGATATATACACACACATACAGAGAGCATGAACAGGTGGGAGTTGCCTTACCAACTCTGAGAGGCCAATTAAGTAAGTGAAAAAAACCTTTTGCAGTGATAATCAAGATAGCCCAGTACAGACAGTTTGATAGGAAGTGTGAGAATACTTACAAGGGGAGCTAGATTCAATGTTTGTAATGGCTCAGCCATTCCCAGTCCTTATTCAATCCTAAATTGATTGTATCTAGTTTGCATATCTTCCTTTTCATGCTGCATATTCAATAATGCACTCCTCCATTTTTATTTTGTTTGGTATGGACATAGTGAAAATCCAATACTTGCACATATGGAACCTATAGTACATATGAAACATCAGGTGGGGAAGGATGCTGGGCAGGCAGAGGGTTTTGGAGTTCAGCTAGTTTGTTGAGAGCTGGGTTTGTGAGTTAGTTCTGCTCCTCTTGCTTTCTGCTGACTTTCAGGAAGGTTGAGGTCTGGGATAAATTGATAAATACTAATGGCCTGATTTTCAGATGCTGCCATTGTCTGGGATTTTCAAAGGACCCTTAGGGAATCAAGAACCCAACTTCCTTAGTCTCCTCTGACAATCTCACCTATTGACTCCAATGGGAGCTGTAAGTGCTCAGCCATTCTGAAAATAAGGTCATTTATTTGTCGTGGTTTAGATTTCCTCTAATTACTATAGGGTTGTTTTTTGAGTAGGTTAGTTTGATTTAACTTCATCTGTACAAATGTCTTTGCACTCCTAACCCTCTGCCTGCCCAAAAAGCCCAAACATTTGTGTCCTTTTTCTATCTGTCAGGATTATGTTTACCCAGATATTAAAGACAGGCAATTCCTCCACTACTTCTACCGGAAATCCAGAAGCCAACATTTTGATGTGGAACAGTATAACAAGCTAAAAGAGGCACTGGCAGAGGTATTTTAATAAGTCTGTTGGTGTAAGTGAATGATTCTGTGGTCTCACCATTTAAGACTTTTCAGGAAATCACGAGCTAATTGGAAAGTGGCTTTTAGATTTATTTATTTATGCATTTTCATTTTGTGTGCTAAAAATGTGCATATGTAACAGATTACCTGGAGTTTCTTTAAAAGCTGGAAGGAAGGAATTAAGAATGGAAATTTGCAGCACTGCTCAGGCAGCCTGTGGAGGCTGGAGGGGGAGGGTGAAAACAAGTCACTCACTTGTGTTGCTCAACAGTGATAAGCTGGTTTCTCTCCAGTTTCCATCTTCCATATTAGCAGCGATATGGAACTGGGAAAAATCTTCACTGCTCCATGAGAAATAGAGAGAGTCCTCCAGTCCACAATAAATAAAAAGGACCCTGATTATTAATCTATTTAAAATAAATGGAAATTCTCCCTTGGTTTTTTGATCAAGAACCCTTAGTGAATGGATGGAGTTAAGTTTTTTAAAAAAATAATTGTGTAGGATTCAAACTAGTTCCTTTTATCAAGGCTGGGGCTTTAAAATATTTGCACTATCTGACATTAGTCTGGAGTGTGAATTTTGCAATTTATGCTAGAGCATGTAAAATAATTCAGTCCTGCTGTTGTAGGAAATGGGCTTTCTAAATTTTCCTAGGCTTTGGACTGAAGGTGACAGTGCACTATGCATGGGGTCTTACATTCAGTTGCCTGGAAGGAGGATGTTTGTGCATCTGTATGTCTGCAGTTCCCGTTGGTTGGTCTGTTGACTGACAGATTAACTCACCGATGGCAGGAATTGTTTTTGGATGGTAATTCCTAGAGTGATATGACCAGGAGGCTGCACTTGTGATTATTGTGGGAAATCTGCGTCATAAGGTTAGTGTCTTCTCAGAAGCGAAAAACCTGGCTACAGGGAAAGAATATCGAGAGTATGAAAGGAAGGTACAAGTTAGGGGTGACTGAAAGGGATAAATATGGACACAGAACATCTTCCATTTAATTCTCTCTTGTGTTTACAGGTTGAAGAGTCCCTGAGACGCCTGCATCAGCCCCTACATCTGCAACTTCCAATACAAGAAATTAATGACAAAGACTAATTTTTTTTCATAACTGAATTGTTGTTTCCAACACCGATTCCAATATTTAGTTTCTATGTTGCAAACTGAATATTTTTGACCACTATAGTTCTGAACATTACTAGAAATGTTGATTAAAACTATTATATCATTAGATTTTCAAAAAATAATTCCTGAAATAAAGAAATCTTTCAAAATATGCATTCAGATCTTGTAATAAAATTGTCTCTCCGTTTTAGTAAATTGATGTGGGCATAAGAGTCAGTGTGGTGGACTAGTGTACTGAAGCATTTTACTATTTTTGATGGGACTATTACCAACAGCAGAGGAATAGCTCAAAAATTTGATATGTCATGGAAAGATTTCTGGTATTTATGGTCAACTGTATTTTTATACTTGAACAAGTCTCCTGTCTAAAGTTCCAATTCAGGAAAGTCCATGTTTAAAAAGGGAGAGGGATAGCTCAGTGGTTTGAGCATTGGCCTGCTAAATCCAGGGTTGTGAGTTCAATCCTTGAGGGGGCCATTTAGGGATCTGGGGCAAAAATCTGTCCAGGGATTGGTCCTGCTTTGAGCAGGGGGTTGGACTAGATGACCTCCTGAGGTCCCTTCCAACCCTGATATTCTATGATAAGTGCTTTCCTGAACAGAGATGAACTGTAAATCATGTGGTTAAGTAATCCTGAATCAGAGCCAAAAAGATGGTCCTCATTTTGTGATACTAACTCTATTTCTATACTTCTGCAGTATCTCCCATCCAGAACCTCTTGCCACTTATGAAAGTGGATAAGTATTATCCACATTTTACAGATGGGGAAACTAAACCGTATAGACGTTAAATGAGTTGCTTAAGGCCCCAAGTTGAGGGAATCCCTGACCCAGAATTAAGGAAACCATTTCTTGGATCTCTCTCCATGGCTCTAACTTCTGGCAGTGGTGCTGTCTTAACTGACAAAATCAGAGTACAGAAACCTTGAACCACAGACTAAGATCCTCTGCATTATTTGATTTTAAGTTACACAGCAAGAATAAATTTTTAGAAAGATACCTATTAGAATGAATATACAGGGTTAGTTTACATCTAATATCAAATTGGGGGGGGGGGGGGGGATGGGAGAGAGAGACTGGCTCAGTTTCCTTTTAGAGAAATACATTTGTTAGATGCTTTGATCATTTATCCTAATCAAGTTGTATGCGATTTATATACTGAATGAATAAAATTTAATGATAAAACTAGTCAATCTTAGGTCAGTATATACAGTACTATAAGTCTCGGGCATCTATATAATATGGTACCTTAAATCTAAAACAACAAACAATTTCGGACACCAAGTCAGTCACCTGTAGTTTTTCTTAATTCAGGCTGTATTGTGTATTAATTTTTACAGCATGACATGTATGCTACTCTTCGGGGGGCTGAAGAACATATTTGTACATAGCTCTCCTGACTAGTACTAGTATAAACTCAGGGTGCTATTGCAGTAATAGATTAAAGTTTGGCATGCAGTGTTCAGGGTACTATAAGTTTAAATACACATTTTATTTAAAGATGTTATTTTCCCATACTCAAAGGTTGTGGGAAAATATTTAACCAAGCAATGAAGACTTCCAAATTTCTAAGAGGGTATTTAAAATAATGCAGAATAAATTTGTCAGGTAAAAGATCTGGCAATCTGAGTTTACTATTCTTGATGAAGTAAAAGGCAGAAAGAATAGTGTTTTTGGGGTGGTTTTTTGTTTTGTTTTTTGATTGATGGTAAGTCTCTTGGATTGTGAACTGACTATAATTATTGTGTAAATTAGAGAGAGAATAAATGGAACCCCATGCTGTCATTTTTCTAACTACAGCAGTTCTTTAAAGTTCAGTGAAGAGACGGTATTGATCTAGTAAGGAAGAGCCCAAACACAGCAGTGCTTCTTAGATGTTCAGTTCCTCCCCTAAAATTGAAGACAAAATATCACACAGGCTTGGAGTGAAACACACATTGCACATTTTTAATGCGTTGTAGGTGTTAAATATTTTTAAGATACAGAAAAATTACAAACATACCTTAGTTGCACTCCTCATAAATTAATGTCAGTGCAAAAACAAAAAAAAGCTTTTATAGTCTAATGCAGTTTTAAAAATTTGTGAAAAAAAGTTACAAAATGCTAGAATGCAGTTACAAAGTAGACAAGGTGTCATTCAAGTGCAAGTCAGAACATTTTAAAAAATTGGTTAAAAAGTGTTTTCTTTCTTAGGACATATATGACCCTCATTACCATGGGATCTGAGCACCTTGCAATTTTTATTACACAGAAAGCAGTGTTACAATTATTTCTCCCAAAATTCCCTGAGACTGCTGTTGCTGCAATGCTGATTTATTATAACAAAGCAATAATTTCTAATATAGAAAGGTTTTTTTAAAGTATTTAAATTATGGCTCCTGAAATTTGATCCCAGCATTTTTGAAAATAGTCCTGTTAAGGAAAATGCATGATGTGAATAACTGTGCAGTTCTCTAGCTACATTGAAAATCATGTTATAAACTACTGAACAAGAGAACAACCCCTTCACTCAGTGATCTTCTAGACTACAAGATTAAGTGATGAAGATATTTTCCATTTTTGGAGTGAATCTGAATAAGATGCCATTCTCACAGATGGGCATATCTACTTTGATTTTTGAGTGAAGTGCAATTTTTTAGTCAGCATTGAGGCAAAACAAGGAATCTGCTTCTTTCCTATTGCACTCATGTCTCTGCACATATCCACTCTGCGAAGAGATACTTTCCTGTTAACCAGAGTGAGAAGTTCTGTGAATTCCAAGGAAGAACCATACTTTCTTATCATCTCACACAAGTCTTGAATATACCAGGTGCCATTTAGAGTTTCACGATGAGAATAGTAACCTATTGGGAAATAAGAGCATAGGACTCCATTTAACCTTAACTGAAGACTAGAAGCCACAGTTAATAACTTTCAATATCACAATTTATTTCTTGCCAGTCATGTTCATGGACTGCAGATAAGTTTTAGATATACGTCTCTGCACTGTTTCTGCTATCTTGGGTACTCGGATGTTAGAGATAAAAATAGTACTTTGGCAAGTTTGCATAATCAGATTTAATCTGGGATTAATAATAACGGCCACACTGTGTCAGGCCAATGGTCGATCTAGCCCAGTATCTTGTCTTCCAATAGTGGCCTCTGCCAGATGCTTCACAGGGAATGAACAAAACATGGCAAGTGAGTGATCGAGTGATCCATGCCATCATCCACTCCCAGCTTCTGGCAATTAAAGGCCCAGGACACCCAGAGCATGGGGTTGCATCTCTGATCATCTTGGCTAATGGCCACTGATGGATCTACTCTCCATGAATTTATTTAAATCTGTTTTGGCCTTCACCCCACCCCCTGGTAACGAGTTCCACAGGTTGACTGTGTGTTGTGTGAAGTAGTACTTCCTTTTGTTTGTTTTACGCTTGCTGCCTCTTAATTTCATCAGGTGAGCCCCCATGGTTCTTGTGTTATGTTAAGAGAGAAACAATACTTTCTCCATACCATTCATGATTTTATAGACCTCTATCATAGCGCCCCCCCCCCCCTTATTGTCTCTTTTCCAGGTTGAAAAGTCCCAGTCTTTTTAATCTCTCCTCATAACTTATAATGGGTGCAATTCCATTTCTGTCAATGGAGTTGCACATGATTAATTTTGCCCTTTGACTTTATACAATATTTTGCAAAAAGATTTTGTATTAATATTTTTATACCTTTCCGACCTCAGGTAATGTTAAGTTGAGTGCAATATTGATTCAGTAGCAGAAACAGTTCTGTAAATTCACCCACTGTTGAATTACAGGAGAGTCTTCAGGATTGGGAATGAGATGGTTTGGGGAGGGCACCCATCTGTGTGAGGAGGTTTAAGAAATCCCATCCAAATGACATGCCGCTAGAAGTGCAGAAGAATATTTCCTCCTGACAGGTAGCTCATTGATAGGGATGTGATCAGTATGCTTTGAGTTCAAAGTCATTTAAAAATTGCAAGTTAGATGGCATATTTTCATTTATTCTCAAGCCTTTACACCATGTGGGGGAGACAACACCACTAATGCAGACATGCAAAGTGGTAAGTTTAAGGAACTTGAATTCTTGTTTTGATTGTGTGATGAAGAAACTCTGCAAGCCTACTATATTTAGTGAAACAGCAGTGATACAGCTGCAAAACTCCTGCTGGATTTAGATGCTAGAAATTTAAGTGCAAAATAACAACATACCTTCTGCAACCGAGTAGCACATTAGAAAGTCTGCACCAGCAGGTAAAGTATATATAGCCGCAGCATCCACTTCAGTTTCATTGACATTGGACTTGTCTACAATACTGTCCACTGCATCGTGAACAAGGACTGGGTCATCGTGTTGATCTCCTCGACATGCCTAGCAGGAGAAAAAATCCTCTCATCTGCCAAGTACACTTAGCCATCACAGAACAAAATTCTGAAAGCAGAAACGCTTCCTGTTTGTTTAGATGTTCTTCATTTATGTGACTAAGTTCAGAAAGAACTACCTTTTGTCCTGCTTGTACATCCTCAGGCCTTTCAGTGGTAGAGCAAGCTGTTTAATAGTGACAGGCACCAACTTAGAAATATCAAAGCATAGCAGACACCATACTGACCTATTCTCCACTTTTGGAAGGAGAAGAGGGTAGTAGCCTTACAGATCAGTTCAGGGGGGGTGTTCTGTGTGTAATCAGCAGCTTGAAAAGAAGTGTGGGAATACCCTTGTGAGAGAAGCAGGTGCATGAGGCTGGCAGTGTCAGTGAAGCAGAGTGGGGGACTCACTAAGGGCAGGTAGTAGCAAGCTGCCTCTTGGAAGTGTCATAATAACCACCGCCTTTTCCACATGAGAAGAAGTTATCCCTAAAAGAACTGTCCTCTGTACCAGTGGGGGGGAAAAGTACACAAATTCAAGAACAGAGATCTTACCTGAATTATAAATATTTTAGGCTTTCCTACTAGACTTGGGCATTTGTCTCCTTTGAACATGTTTGTCATTGTCTGAACTTTTATTTTAGCATCATAGGCGTAAACGTGATTATCTTCACCATGGCTCAGGAACACACACACAAAGCAGTCAGCATCACTGTGGTTGTCCATTGACACTAAAATAATGGAACTGTGTTTAGATGATTACGCAAGCTTACAGTATTTATTAAACACCCCACCATTAGTCCACTCAGAACCACATGTAGCCATTTAATCTCAAATCAGTCCTATTCGAGTCCTACAGTCTCCGCTGCTGTAAATCAGCATAGCTCTGCTGAAGTCTGGAACTACACTGATCCATACAAGCAGAGGATCCAGTCTACTGGAAGTTAGAGAGATGCTTAGTAAACACTACTTCTGTTGGTCATAGATGCATCTTGGGAATTCCAACACTTGCAATGCAATACCAATGAAGATACTACTGGTATAAAATAATATATTTTCTGTTCCTTAGTCTTTTTATGTCATGGGATTTCATCATAGAAGGGAAATAATTCAAGCTACAGTGAACTTGTCTTAACAATGACGGAGAAATACAATCTTATCTAGAACCGCTCCTGCAGGCAGGCTAAGACATACCTTCTACATGGTCTCCTACCTTCATAAATGTTCCGTATAACCTCTTCTGCTTTAAGGTCATCAAAGCATCTGACTTCAAATCCAAGCTCTGTCAAACTATCATTAAACACACACATTTTAATAAGTATCCTTTAATAAGTTATGCTAAAAATGCCACCGCTTTTGTTACTTCCTTTGGAACTTTATACCTTTTCCTTGAGAGAATAGATATCCATGTTAATTTATGTAATGGTACCCAAACCTGATACCCAGGAGTGTCTTAAAGATGCATAGAACAAAAAAAAAAAGTAATTTATAAAGTGAAGGTGTTCTTATGAAATAGGAATTCTGTTAAGAGCAACAGAAAACACAAATAATTGAGGTACTCCCCCCAGGGACCTGTCTGAAAACCAACCAATATGCGAAATAAAGTAGAACTTCCATTTTTGCCAAAATGTAATTTCATTTTCAGGCAACTATGAGCCAAAATGACAATTTTGGACTTTTTTTTTTGAAGGGTTATAATACTATCAAATCAGAAATTTAATATAAACATGATATAAAAACTTAATCATGTCCTGAAATATGCTGATGCTGGACTATGCCACCTCCCTGTATTAAGCTTTTGATTAGGTTACGTACAGCCACTTTCCT